TATACTCGAGTATATACAGTATTTTTCCGCTGGATGGAGAAATGCTTATTTCTAGACTTAAGAACTTCTGCTATGGAAATGTAGGCCTGACCTTCCCATCATTTACATTAAACTCTGTTCAGTGGAAGTTATTCCTGTCCACAGGATGGAAACCATCAAATAAATGATCTTGCCAGCCTGACATGGGCAGAGGCAGAGAAAAATAAACTGTTTCCCACATTAAAGCAGAATTTGTACACCCAAGGGTTGCATGGTCAAAAGTTTGGGTTATATTCTTGGACTTACTGTCAGGCCTGCAGCCATCTTTTCTTTTGGATCTTTGACCTGCTACACTTTCTATTATCCTGCTATGCATTTTCTATTCTGGGAAAATGGGAGGGGGGATTGTAGGAGTGAGATGCGATGTAGCCATAACAAAATTCTTTCTAGAAAGCCAAAGTCATCTTTTGTCTTTGCATCTCTGCACCTGAGCAGAACTGGATAGGTGGAACAGGCAGCATGGCAGTGGAAGATTGGACCGTGTGATGGACTTGTGGGTGTGGGGGCAAGAGCTTGAACTTTCAACTAGGTGGGGAAAACCAGGAAGCTTTCAGATTCGGGTTTTCCCAGATATGGCTCTCTTAATAAATTGGAACTTTGTGGAATGCTTTGCCTCGGACTCTGATTTAATTTTGGATGCTATTTGGAACCCTGACATTATTGCTTTGTGTGTTTTCTGACCAAACTACATTGCAACAGCAATGCATGCATATTTAACAAAACTATCAATTTCAAAACAGAAAAATTTGAAACTCAGTCCAAATGGTGGAGTTGGGGCACAGGTTAGGCTCACACGAAATGGCTCCATACCTTTCCACCATCAAATTCTTCATCCCAGTCATCAAGGATGGACTGCTTCTGGGACCATCTAGCATCATGCATGGCATCCTGGCTGATAGCAGATGCTTCACCATTCCATGTTAAAACTGTAGATTAAAAGTACAGCTGAGAATGGCAGCATCCAATGTCTTTATTTCAGCTTACAATGGATTCTTTATTTCTGCCCCGAAGAATCAAGCAAGCATCTATTTCAGAAGTACAGGCAGGGAAATAGGAACACCTTACATTCACACGCTGCCATCATAAACCTCAGAAGGCCATCACAAAATAACAGATCTATTTTTGCTTTCTTTCATTAAATGAAATATGAGTCCTTGATGATTTAGGATGTCAATGACCGTTCCAAACTTGGCACTTTTCCAGTAGTTGAACCATCAGAAACCAGATAGAACTTTTGCATGAATTATTCTCATATATTCTAAATCCTATTCCAGGGTCTTTTCTTAACTTCCAAAATTTCTACAATACGATTCTGATGGAAGAAGTTAGAAAGATGTTAAATAATAATTTTTCAGGTTATCATTTACTGCTAGATATCAAATTTGGCTAGAGAATTCAGAGCCTGCTAGGTTGATCACATTTCATTATATTTTCCAAAGTGTAACTTTCCTTATTTATATAGATGATTCTTGTTAAATGATCAGTTCCTCAGCAACTGTTCGAACTCATGTCAGTGCTGGAAGAGTGCTAGCTATGACCAGTCTTCATGCTTAGGTTAGTCACAGTGTCCCTAGTCACATGATCATTATTGGTGACCTTTTTTGCCAGCTTCCTGCAAGCAAAGTCACTGGGGAAGCCAGCAGCAGGTCGCTAATGACAGCCACATGATGCCTTCAGTGATTTGCTTAATAATGACAATTGGAAGTTCAGGATTTTCTGTCCTTAATTGGCGTTGTCACAACCATGTTGTTTACTAACAAGAATTCCAATTGCCATCATTAACTACCTGTGAATGTGTTGCCCCCTTTTTTCCTTTATCTTAATTAGAAAGTGAAGTGCAAGACATACAGTAAAAATTGTATAGTAACAAGCATGCAGCTTGAAAGAGCATTCATGTTCCCAGTGAGAAAGGCTTCCAAAGTCCTTGTGAAAGCTGTTAACTGGAAAAGAAGGGAAATCCAAAATCACTGAGTGTACCTTGCTTTCCATAAGCTTTATCCAAAGAATCCTTCAGTAGCTCCTGAACTACATCAACTGGTCCACATTCGTGCTGCATAATTTCCTTCTTTGGGCTCAGGACATTGAGGGAGAACTCATCCCTATGTCTGAACTGGTTGCCCCAAGCCAATGCTGTTGTGAAAAGAAAAAGGTGAAGAGCATATTAATGTAAGAAAGGTGTACATGCAAAATTCCTCTTTCCTGCAAAGCAGGTAGCAATAGCATTGCTATATAGACTTATATATTGCTTCAGAGTGATTTACAGCCCTCTCTAAGCAGTTTACAGAGTTAGCCTATTGACCCCCAACCATCTGGGTCTTCAGGTAGGACAATGCAGTCTTAATGCAGTGGAATGGCAGGCAAATTTCTCACTTCCAAAGTGAACGCATATAAGACATTAGCACATACTGAAGTATTTTAGCTCTGCCAATTATTCTTCATTGCACAAAATATCTCGTGAAATAGTCTGTTGCAATTCAAGCATTTATAGCCAGAATCTATCCTCCAAATCCATTCCTTTTCAGAATATCTCCACATGTCTGTGTGCAGGGAAGAGAGGGGCTGTTTACTTCTTTCAATCAAGGCTGATGAAACGCTAGCAATGTGGCTTATCCAGGAACAGATGCCTAATCTGTGAAATCCCCAAATGAGGTTTGGTTATAAACACTAGCGACACAAAAGGATCTTGGCGAAAATATCTTGGAATTAATGCAATACACTGGTGCCAACAGATGCTTCTATTTTAATTTGGATGTACAGACATCCGCTCTTATTTCTGATGATAAGATTTTTATTTACAATTCAGCTGGAGTGCAGTAAGTGGAAGGTCACCTACACCACATAAAGGAAGCGACAAAACTATTTCAGATGGGGATGTGACATGAATACCTTCATTATCCAAATTTTGACTTCCATTGCTTCCCCCTACCCAATCAACTTTGATGCAGGGGTATTACCAACCTGGAGGGCTGACTCTAGCCACAGAAAGTCCATTCTCGTTTAGTTCTTCTTGGGGGCTACAGACTTCAGCCACATGAGAATGCAGTATCTTTCTTTGCTTATCTTTGTGGTGCTCACTCTCTCCAGAAGAAGTGCTCTTGTCTGAACTGGGTGAAAGCAATTGCTTCTTCTTTTTCTTCTTCTTTTTTGTCCTACAGGAGCTAACTTCAGGTGGAGGAGAGCAGCTGTACAAAACAGATAAAAGGGTTTGTTGTTGTTGTTGTAAGCTTTACCAGTAGACCAGACAAGAAACCTGGCCAGAGAAGCTAATTTTCTCCACTGTAAAGCTACTTTAACAAAATCTTGCAAGTCTAAAAGTACAATCTTCATGCTATCTCTTTTAGAGAAACTAAAGTTCCTTCTGACCCTCTTTGCCCAGCCCACTATCCAGCTGTGGGCTACGCTATCTCTTATCATGCCCTAGGCAGCATCTCTCTGCCCTGTCTTCCAAGATCTTTCCCACATACCATTACAACTGGTCAAGTAAAACTTTGACTTGAGACAACCAGCCAAGCACTTACCAGTTCACAGGGGACAATAAAGATGAGCAGTCTTCCTCCCTTTGCTGCAGCCTTTTCTTCTTTTTCCTCTTCTTCTGGATGGAACTACTTTGACCAGTAGCTATTGCCCTGTCACCTCCAGCCCTTTTCTCTTCCTCTCCCTTCTTAGTCTTCCCCAAGTTGGCTTCCTGTGCAGGGGAGATCACAATGCTGCCATTTCCCTCAAATTGCCTCCTCTTGCAAGGAGGACTGGAGAGCCAAGTCCTCTCACCATTGAAGTCTTTCATGTTTCGGCTACCATGGCCATCCTGCTCTTCCACTGGGGAGCTATGCTTCCTTTTTTTCTTCTTACTGCTGACAACGGATGGCTCTTTGCTGTTGTCTAGATAACAGAGGTGTGGTGCCGAGGTGGGTACAACAGGTGATGGAAGAAGGGTGGCAGCAGAGAGGCAGCATGATTTGAAGCTGGATGAGGGCATGGAGTTGGCAAAGGGACTGTTGGCTGTTTGTGGAACTGCTGAAGATTTGGAAGCAGGTGAGACCACCCTAGAGAACCACATAAATATAAAGTTAAGAAGACCCAGCAGATTCTGAAGCTTTAAAATTTTTGGGAAAATATCATTGCTGTTGCAATTCTCTAAAGGTTTCACTAATTCAATGTACAAACAGAATGGCATTATCATATATCTGATTGCTTCCAGTGAAGATTAGAATTACATTTTTTTTCTTCTTTAAAAAGATACAAGTACCAACTTGGATTACAAGTATCTCAATTCCAGAACTGGAACTATCAAAGATTTTACACCACTTTAGTTTCCATCCAGAGAGAATCATTTGGCTGGGCATAAATTCAGGATTGTCAACTAACATACTTCTAAGCATGGAGCTTTTCCAATTACAGAATTTCTATTTCCTTTTTTCACTGCCAAATCTGCAACCACTATATTATGTAACAATGGCTGGGGCACACATCAAGCTGGATTTTAAAGTGGCTTGCATGATTGCAACCTATGAAGGAGTGAAATTCTGCAGGTTCTGGAGAATTGATAATGGAAATTTTGAGTAGTTCAGAGAATTGGCAAATACCACCTCTGGCTGGCCCCACAGTGGGGTGGGAATGGAGATTTTGCAATATCCTTCCCCTGCCACGTCTACCAAGCCATACCCACAGAACCTGTAGTAAAAAGAAATTAATTTCATCACTAAACCTACATGTTATAGGCGAACTAGGTAACTGGGGCTTATTTCCCAAATCATTATAATAAATCAAGATTGATGTAAACACTAATTTGTTCTTCTTTTTGCAGATTCATCTGAAGATATTTTATAGTTCACAAAAATAGTGATGTTCCAATGTATGATAGGAATGAAATGTTGCTGTCCCATATTACTTCCAGTTTATATCTAAATGACTGGAAAGCATTTCTCTTCAATATTTCCATTGTTCTGTTAATCTAGTTGTGCCTTTTGTTCTAGAATTCTTTTTTTTTTGTGGCAGATATCTAATCTACACTAGTTCTCAAATTTTAAAAAATGTACATCCTATGACTTTTTGCTAAATAAACTCACCTACATCAGTTGCTCGATTTACTTGAAAAAAAATGTTCTACCACGTGAAGCATTTAACTATTGAGCAGCAGGACTGCATTTTGTTTCCAAAGATTGATCTTTTGCTACAAAGTAAATTTATCAATAGAAATTTTAGATAAGGTGCTGATCGGTTCACAGGTCAATTACTGGACCTAATAGCAGTAGGGTCACTTAGACTTATATACTGCTTCACAATGCTTTTACAGCCCTCTCAAAGCAGTTTACAAAGCCAGCATCTTGCACCCAACAATCTGGGGTCCTCATTTTACCCACCTCGGAAGGATGGAAAGCTGAGTCAACCTTTAGCCGGTGAGGATCGAATTCCTGGAAGTGAGATGAATTAGCCTGCAGTACTGCATTCTAACCACTGTGCAACCACAGCTCTAATAAAAGCTTTCAGGAAACAGAACTTACCAATATTAAGTTATGCAACTAGAAACTGTTCTCAGGCATCATCTCTAGCCGAGCAAATTATGCTTCACCTCCCTGAATGCAATTTTCAGTCCCAGAACATGGATTTAAAAAAAGCAACAACAACAACCCTGAACCAACCAGATTCCTCTGAGCTAGCAGGCTTTTAACCCAGAAATATTTAGGCAAATCACTGGGAGGGATTCCAACAGAGACTTTAACTAACGAAAAGGCCTTACTGAGGACAGGATTAAATACCGCAGGTACCCACATTCCAAAGGCACATGGGCCACTTATGACGTAGGCTGTCCTGCCCTGAAGCCCCACTGGCCATAGCTTACCTGGCTTGGATGGATGCAGCAGCGCAGACGAATTGGGTGGTATATGTGGCAGCTGGGGGGAAATGGGGCGGTGCCTGATGCTCATTGCCGCTCACTTTCCGCAGGGTGTTGCTGCCCTGTAGTTATCGACATAAATAAAAACTTGGTGGTCTGAAAGGAGGTTTCCATGACCCCAGGGACAGCGGGTGGCGTAAGAAGAGAGGGTGGGCACAAAAACAAAGAGAGGTAGGGGTGGAAGAGGGAGGGGAAGAAGAATCAGAAAAGTGTTTGTGGTTAGAAACAGAGGGAAAACAAGGAAGGACATGTCAAAAGACAGAAGACGTGTTAGAATAAATAACAGGCCACTGGCACCTCCCCATTTCCCAGGACATGCTAGCTTTATTCCTGAAGGCCACATCCCTGTCAAGATGCTCTCTTCTGGCCTAATGAAGCAAAAGGGTCTCCCTCTCCCTCTCTCCAAGCAGCCTCATTTACTTGCAGAAGCAGCAGAGGAGGTGGACAGGCTGTGGATGAGGACCAAGGGCTGCTCACAAAGCCAACAGGGCCTTCCTCAAAATCGCACCCCCAAGAGGGTGACCAACGTATGGCAATTCTCACCATGGCCAAAGGGGGAAATCTTGTTACTTTTGTATTTTAGCAATATATTCACAGTGCTTTACAGCCCTCCTTGAGAGGTTTACAGAGTCAGCCTATTGCCCCCAACAATCTGGGTCCTCATTTTACCAACCTCGGAAGGACGGAAGGCTGAGTCAACCTTGAGCCTGGTGGGATTTGAACTGCAAAATTGCAGGCAGCCGGCAGTCACAGTCAACAGAAGTAGCCTGCAGTACTGCACTCTGGCCACTGCGCCATATCAGCTTTGTTTTACTCAGTTAATATCACCTTAACTGTTCAATTCAACACTATTTTAGATTTTTTTTTGTCCTGGACCTGTTCTCTTCTTAGAATGCAGTGCCATTCAAATGGTCTAGTATGGCTCTTGGTTCCCGTCCCCCCCCCCCTCCCACCCGGCCTCCAAAAAGGTTCTAAATCTTACTCTTCATAGCCAGAAAGAGGAGGAGGGAGGAAAGCAAACTCAACATGTTTCACCCCAAGGCCATGGGAAAACAGTCAGAGACTGCAAGTATAAAGCTTACTTCCTGCAAATGCTGTCTATCGCTCCAGGGCATTGCAAATTTGCTAAATGGGGCATTATTTTGGGAACTGCCTGCATATACAGGGAGTCCTCGACTTACAACAGTCCGTTTAGTGACCATCAAAGTTACAACACTGACAAAAGTAACTTCTGACCGTTTTGCAGAGTGACAAAACTTTGCAGCATCCCCATGATCATGGGACCAAATTCATATGCTTGGCAACCGGTTCATATTTATGACCATTGCTGCATCCCAAGGTGATGTGATCACCTTTTGCGACCTTTTGATCAACACAGTCAATGGGGAAGCCAAATTCACTTAACAACTGAGGCAAACAAAGGTCACATAATGGGGCAAAAATCACTTCACAACAAAAAATTGGGTGCTCCATTGTGGTAATAAGTCAAGGACTACCTGTAGATGCCTCTAAGCATACAGCGCCTTTACTGGTGGAAAGACCACCTGGTTTTCCTTTATCAAGCTTTCCCTTTTCTCACCACTCCTCTCCCTTGACCTCTGGAGAACAGTATGCTCAATTCCTTCACCCAAACGCACCTTCCTGGCAGAAAGTGCCAGTTTCTTTGCAGGTGGGGGCGACATGGTGCTTCCCAACTCCAGATTGGCTAAATTAGTCAACAACGGGGATTTCATCTTCGCAAACTTGGTGTCCTCAGAAGTGTATTTCCCAGACACACAGTCCGATTCCTGAGAGGAAGAGTAGCCATCAGCTCCTACTGTGGCCTGAGAAAGTCCCTTAATTGGCTTATGAGCTGGACTGGAGGAAGATGAGCTGCTAGAAGACGACGAAGATGTCAAGGAGGAGTCCTTGCTTGGTAGCTCTGTACCTTCCTCGTGCGCTTTGGCTTCGGGGGTTCCTCCAGAGCTGCCCGACAGCTGCAAAGACGCCACCAAGTTCTTAGCTCCCCAGAAGCTCTGCTTGGCTAACTCCAGTTTAGCACTGTCAGCCTGACCAAAATCCTGAGAAGTCTTGCGAGACGAGGATGCCTGCTTCTTGGATCTCTTGCTTAAGTCGTCCAAGAAAGCCGGCTTGCTGGAGAATTTAGGAGATGAGAATCCAACAGCAGGTATGAGCTTGGGAAGTGGAGGAGGAAGTATCCCATTCTGAGTTTTGTTGTTGGAAACAAAGGTGTTGCGGGAAACAGGAACACCCGATTCCTCAGGGTCTGAAGCCTTCTTAACCTGAATCACGTTGTGTCTCTATGGAGAAGACAGACAGAAGTGCTGGATCAATAGAAGTATATATTGCACCACTATCTGCATAATAGGCACATACACATGTACCTAAAAGATGAAAAGTGGCCTTGCCAAATGAAATAAGGCAAGTTGCTATTATATATATTAAACCTAACCATCTTAAGATTCAACCTCACTTGATCGACTCAAATAAGTTAAATGGAATTACTACAGATTACAGTGAAATTCTGCTTTCTCTGCACAAGTTCCCACAACAATAAATCTGTACAGCTAGTAGCCAGATTTGAGAAATTAAAGGCAGAGCAACATTTTTATTGCTTGGGTGGGGGAGCATTCTTATTTGATAGCTATACTATATGGTTTCCTCTTCACTGGACCAAAATTGACTACTTGGGAGACAAATTTTCCCACCCATGCTTTCTCTCCTAGGTTCACACAGACACATGAGATCAATTTTGGAGTGTGACTCTGGTGTACCACTCACTTTGTTTATCAGTGGTGATGCAAGGGTACCATTAGTTGCACTTTTCTTCAAGTGATCAGAGGAGATGTTTGTTCGGCTGGGCATTGAGCAATTGCTTTTGGAGACAAGTCCTTCAGGATTCTTCTTAGTGCTTGGGATCCTTAAAGAAAAACAAATTATTTCATTGATTTATTCATCCATTTGCCTGATCCTTTGCCTTTCATGAAACATTTTTATGAAGTATGCCCAGCAGCTAACTAGGAATGAGGGTTAACTATTTGAACACTGGAAAGTTGGGAGCCGCTGTCCCAAGGGATTATTTAGTTGCTATGTATTTTGCATACGTTACTCGGTGTAATAGAGTTCTGAAGACTATTCAACTCAAAAGCTCCCGGGATTGAGGATGTCCACAAAAACATAGGAAGCCGCCTTACTCCATGTCAACCCATTCATATAATCTGACTCTGTACTGTCTGTATCAATGGGCAGCAAATCAGAGGTGGAATCTTTTTCATCTCTGACTGAAGGTGCTGGGGATTGAACCCAGAATTTTTTTTCCATAGCAAGCATGCTGACCCTTCCCTAACAGAAAGGATGGCTTGATGCCATGATACAGTGAACACATTTCCCAATAATTAACCAGGCCAATTCAGGTCATGAGTGGTACAAGGAGATGCTTGATACTTAGGCTACCTCCCAGCCATCCAGACTTGCAATGGGTCAGCCAACTAGGTCAGTGATGCCTAAGCTTTTCGGCACCTTTTCGGCATGCGCACACCAGAGCACCGGAACCTGGAAGACAGCAGCTGGCTGATGAGCACATGTGCCATCACCAGCTCCTCTTCTGGCTTCTGTCGTGCGTGCTGGACAACTGGTACAGCGCACATGTGCACCGGCCAACTGCTCTCTTCCGGGTTCCAGCACGCGCATTTTTGTGCAAAGACCAGCCGCCCGGCACACATGCATGCAACAGAACCTGGAAGAGCAGCTGGCGATGGTGGGCATGCCCACAGAGAGGGCTCTGCGTGCCACCTCTGGCATGCGTGCCATAGGTTTGCCATCATGGAACTAGGTTATCCCTAGTATTAATGTTATCAATTTTTGTTAGATAATAATCCTGAGGTGGAACACAATAAAAACCTATCAATTTTCACCAACTTTTAAAAAGGGCATAATGTAAGAAAGCATAAAACAAGAATGGCCCAGGAGACACCAGCTCAAATATCGGGGTGACAGTAACAACACCCTAAGGGAAAGTAGGAGAACCTAATAACCCCAAACATTTCTTACCTAAGGTAGAAGAGTACATAGGCCTGCTGGTTGAGAACAACTTTGATGTTGCTTGAATGTACCAGAGAATCATTCATCTGGTACCACTGCCCATTACTAGCCTAGATATACAAAAAATAATAATAATTGGTCACTGTTCCCTAGCAAATCATAATTATCCTCAAAAGATGATTATATGCATATATTCATTTATTTCATTCATTTATTAGTAGCAGCAAGAAAATCAGGAAAATCAGCCCAAGTACAGCACTGTCTAAAGAGTAATACTGGAGATTATCTTAGAAGGTGGATAATGTCATACCTAATCCTAATATACTTTGCCTTTGGTGTCTAGCTAATTGATGTTATTAGACTTAAGATATTAGGACAATCACTGTCTGGACTGAGCTCAACTGAGCTTATGATGTCACATCACTTCCAGTAATCTGTAGCTTGGACATCTCAGAAAATCCCCAAATCACAGGTCCTTCAATAACCAAGAAAATTTGGAGATGGACACAGAAGACACAGAAACATTCTGCATGGATATTAAGAACATCCACAGGGAAACAAAGCAAAAATGTTCTGGTGGCACACAGCAATTTTGTAAATTTTCTCAAAAGGCATGGAGATAAAGCCTCTCCCCCAAGGCTAAAGTACACTGAACAACTGTTACCCACACAAAGACCCACCTTGACATAGCAGTAGTAATGCCCTGCATGGCAGCTGTATCCTGAATGCACAAGTACAGCATAGAGGCCATACATGACAGCGTCCCCACTGCTCTGCGACATGTAAGGACGAATATTCAGGAATTCAGGGTAACCCACATCCTACGTGAGAGAAAGAAAAAATTCGTAAGAATGTGTTCCACCTTCTAGCGACCTGCATGAAGAGCATCAGCCTCACCAGGCACAAGTCAGTGATCTATAGATTGAACTCTCTATAGATTGGATTGAGCTGTCTAACAGACTGACATCCATTCTTAAGGTCAGAGGTACTGGCCATCTGGACCCACCCTTCTCTTTCTGAGAAGGGACCACCCTCCCCCTTTCCTGATCACCTTGGTAATCTTGCCCCCACTGAAGTTGGCAAAGCGCTTGAGGGAGATGGTAAGGACATTAGAGGCTCGGTGGATAGTAAAACGCTTGCTGGCCGGAACTTTCTTCTTGCATCTGCATGGAAGAGAAATGGATGAGTTCTGTACACCTGCTCAAAACATGAAGTACTTGGAACACAGAGCCAATCCCTAAACATCTATCCTCAATAGAGGATGCAGCTTCTGGACGGCCACTAACAGAGGCATGTTTGAAGCATCTTAGGAAGGGCTCTCAGTCTGCCACATACCTGAAAGGAAGACGGCCCTAAATTTAAGGCCACCCCAAAAGAAAAGTGGTTTTAAAAACTCTCCTGCTCCCGTTATTATACTTGCACCAAGTTTAAAGAGAGCCCTCCATTTTAAGGACAAATTATTTGAGAAAAAATAAGTCACATGCACTGGATAATTTCTAAATATTTAGGAAAATTGTTGACTTCAAGTAGTAAGTGGCTATCCCAAATGTAAATATATATCTCCCAAAATTTTATTTTTACTCAGTTATTTCTTCATGACCCCATCCCTGCCGACTGATTAATTTATAAATGATTAGGTGGAGTAACCTTGCTTTCCTATTTCTTTAGATCTCATCAGAAGTTGCAGAGATATGGTTAAACAAGATAAACAATCTTTCTTCCACGAAAGACAAATATACCTATCCCAGGGTAATGCTGCAGGATCCAATCTCAGTCAATCACCAGGACCAGAGTGTCAACTTCGAACCGAACCTGGCAACAGCCATCTTTCTGTTCCTCAGTTGCCACACAGAGGGGGAAGGAGGTTGGAACGCATTACTAGACACAACAGAGAGCTTTCTCGTGAGAACCAAGGTCATCTCTACTGGCAACATAAGGTTGGGGAAGGAGTGCCTGTAGAGCCTGCCAATTAATCCAATTGGCCAACATGACCTGTGACACTTGGGGATGGGGTTATTTCCTAATTTACTTATACTGAAACCACCGGAAAGATTTAGATTTGAAGCTGTGCCGATATGATGTACTCAATAAAGAAGACCTTTGACAAGGATCCTAATCTCAGAGTTCTGATTTGCTTGGGTTCATTACTCGGAGTCTTGATACAAAGATTTTGCCTTGGAAGTTCAGAAGACAAAACCTCTGATCCCGGTGACCAACCCAGATTGGATCCTGCAATTCCTTCTTTTCTTTCTTTCTTCCTTCCTTCCTTCCTTTTTTCTTCCTTTCTTTCTTCCTGTTCTGATCCAGCCTTATTCAAGGTTATTATTCAAGGTTTTTTTCAACAACTATATAGTAGGGAAGAAACTTCTGAGGACCAAATTAAGGAATTTTTAGATAATGCAAATCTACCCAAGATCTCAAATGAAGCGAAAGGNATGAAGATTCTCTGAGCAAAACTCCATATTGGCAACAGGAAGAGCAACTGGCCAGTCAAAACTCAGCTCCATTCCATTGCCCCGACTCCACCCCACAAGCGATTACGGGCTTCTTAAATGACACCCCCCCCCCCAAAGAGAGAACTATTTGGGAGAGATTAAGGTCAATTATAGATGCGCTGCGAATAACGATGAAGATTCTCTGAGCTAGGCGCAAAAGGTGTACTTTAAAAATATATTTATTTCATGTATGAAATACAAAGAAAAATCAAAAGAGGAAATTAGGGGAAGGAAAAAGAGAAGGGGCCAGAAAGTGTGAAGGGGGAAAAAAAGAAAAAAAAGGCATTGACTTCCAACTTTTTTTTAACGTAGTACGAGATTAAAAACACACCAGCCTCAATTTTTTTTGCTTTTGACACATTAGTATATAGCCATTTCTATAACGACAAATCTACCTAATGGACAAAAGCAAATTTTCTTCCCCCCCCCCCCATCACAAGCACAACAGTTCATTTAGTGACTGTCCCAAGTTACAACGGCACTGAAAAGAGCGAGTTATGACCGTTCTTCACCCTTAGGAGGTGGCAGCATTACGACGTGATCAAAATTTAGATGCCATGGCAACTGGCTCATATTTATGATGGTTGAAATGTCCTGGGGTCATGTGATCAAAGTTGGGCGACCTTCTGATGACAATGGGGAAGCCAGATTGATGTTACTTCCTTAACCTCTGCAGTGATCCATTTAACCACTGTGGCAAGAAAGGTTGTAAAATGGGACAATGCGCACTTAGCCCACGTTTTGCTTAGCAACAGGAATTTTGGACTCCATTGCGGTGGTCATAAGTCGAGGATTACCTGTCGCGCAGGGGTGGTATACACTTACCTTCCCTATCGATTTGCAAATGTGAGTGCTTTTCTGACGTAGGCTGCCTGAGACAGTGAAAAGCGTACGCTTGGTCCCCCAAATCCTCTTTTTATTTCAAAGGCCGTGAATTATGTTCATTCACAGCCCCAAATTAGTCCCAAATAGTTTGTAATGAGTCCGATAGTAGGCTGCCTATCTGGACCGGGAGGCACTTCGAATGGTCACTCACGCCCTCGTCACCTCAAGACTGGATTACTATAACGCACTCTACATGGGGCTGCCCCGGAAGAGAGTTCGAAGACTACCGTTGGTCCAGAATGCAGCCGCGCGAGCGATAATGGGTGTACCTAGATACACCCATGTTACACCTATCCTCCGCGAGCTGCACTGTCTCCCCATTGGT